ATGGTTTAAAATTAAGAAGGGAGTGCTTTGAGGTTATATTCTCTCTACATACATATTCAATATGCATGCAGAGCAAATTATTCTAGAAGTTGGACTCTATGAAGAGGAGGGTGGTATCAGGGTTGAAGGGAGACTCATCAAGAACCTGCATTATGCAGATGATACAACCTAGCTTTCTGAAAGTGAAAAGGACTTGAAGTACTTGTTGCAGAAGATCAAGGAATGCAGCCTTCAGTATGAATTGCATCTCAATGTCAAGAAAACAAGGATTCTTACCATTGGACCGATCATCAGACATAGGGTCTGATTTTATAAAAATAAATCCTAACTGAGTTTATAATAAAAATAAACTATATATCCTCCAAACACATGTTAAAAAATGGTTTGTTATTATGTTCATATTAAGATTTAGAAAACATAAATATGTTTGACTTCCTAAAAACTTAAGGTTTTAGAAGATGGTAAAGCTAAAGCTTTGAACTGATGCATTTTTGTTCAAAGATCATATTGAGAATTTTCCCACCTCAGATATACAGAATTATAATCTACATTTTCAAAATATGCCTAGGTGATGCTTAAAAATTTCATTGAAATGTTGATTCTGATTCAATTTATCTGTAATGGAAATGCAGATTATCAGTAGAGTTTCAAACTAGAATGAATCAGTTCTAGGCCTTGAGTAGAACAAATTATTAACTCCATATACCACTGGAAAGATTGGCAGCATCAGGATGGATGGTGAAGAGATTGAGATTGTACACAGCTTTAGTTTGTTTGGCTCCACAGTCAACACTCTTGGCACCAGCAGCCAGGGTATTAAAAGACATACTGATATGGGAAAGTCTGCTGTTAGGGACCTCTTCAAAGTAATGAAGAGCAACGATGTCACTCAGGAGACTAAGGTATGCCTGATACAGGCCATGGTCTTTGCAATCAGCTGTTATGCATCAGAGAGTTGGACAATGATTAAGGAGGATAGAAGGAGAATTGATACCTTTGAGCTGTGGTGCTGGAGAAGAGTATTGAATGTACCATGAACTGCTAAGAAAACAGACAGGTTTGTCCTAGAGAGTATGAAGCCAGGCTGCTCCTTGGTGGCAGAGATTCTGAGGCTTCCCCTGACATAATTTGGACATGTTGCAAGGAGGGACCAGTCCTTGGAGAGGGCCATAATGCTTGGAGGGTGGAGGGACAGTGCAGGAGGCCAAGGCACTCTATGAGGTGGATTGATTCAGTGACTGGGGTAATCGAAGTGGATGTGTTGGAGACAGTGAGATTGGCACAGGACAGAGCCAGGTTTAGGGCTGTTGTACAATGTGTTGCTATGAATCGCAAGCAACTCGATGGCACATAACAATAACAACCTTTCACTAGAAATTCACAGGAAGATATTAGATGAATAGAAATAAAAGATAGCAATATATCAAAAGTGGTTGTGAAATTTATTTAGTACACACATTTAGAATACAACCTATTTCATGGTGAGGCGGTATAGTGAGGATATTGTCTCATGCTATTAGTGTCTATAGGATAATAAGTTTTTGTTATAACTTAGCAGTCACTACTGGGCCCTTGAGGGTCATTGACCCTGGGGCAATCATGCCTGAGAGCACTGAGGATTAAGTCTCAAAAGAATAGAGAATCTATCACATATAGGCACGTATCATCCGTACATATACCCTCATTATCTGAGTGTTGTTTGAAAGGAGATATCTTTGGAATATTCTGAAGATTCCTTCTAAAACCAGGTAGGTTGTCAAACTAGTGAAGTAATTTCCAATCGTTCTCCAACCACCCAGAATGTCAACTCATCAAAACCAAAATTTGCACTTTCTTCAAAAGAGAAAAATATTTGTCCTTCTATAAAACACAAATAATCAACTCTCCTGGGAAACAATTATTTCTTTGTATGATAGTTGCCTTTCTCTTAGAAGAAAATTTTGATTATTATAAACAAAATGCCTCCAACGATATATTTCTCAGTAAAAATTCTGTTGTTAGGTATGATAGATAGCTAATGACCCATAACTACCCGGTGAACAAGAGATTGAAATTTGCCCTCTTCTGAGTTATGATCACCATCTCTGCCATGTTCAAGTCCATTGTTGCATTTACTGTGTCAGTCCATACCATTAAAGCTCTGCTAATCTTTTGCTGACCTTTTGCTTTTCCTAACTTAGGTGAAAGTGGTACTCAGAAACGGATGTTAGTATTTTTAAAATTTGAAGTTAAAGAAATGTTGGTGTTGACCCCCTTTTTTCCCTAGCATGGATGTATAAGAAAGAAAAAAAATTAATCTAATCCCAGTGTATGTGCAAAGAAAATTAACACAAAACCTGAACATCCAAAATCATTTTTGTAAGGGAGTATCTAGTGCAGAATCAAAGTCACTATCTCTCTACTTCTAGAGGGAGACAGATACTGAGAAAACCAACTTGCCATTATTTACTCTTTAATTTTTCACCCCTAGAATGGCAAGCCATATTACCAAGAGCTTAAAAGACAAATCAGTCTACCATTTTTTACATAGTGAGAATTGACTCCATTAAGAAGACAAAAATGGATTAGGGAGAGAGAAAATGTCTATTTTTCTATGTGAGTGGTTGTCTCTGTGTATGTTTACAACCGCTTAAAATGTTAAGCTCCCATAAAAAGAAAGGTTTTAAAAATCAAATATATGACCACAAAAAAAACCCCTTTAAAATATATCAGTTACTTATTTTATATTGAGAGGGAAGAAATGCAATTTTTTAAAATTTCATGTCATTTGTTCTATAATTTGATATGGTTAGAATGTCTTACCTTTTCCATGCCAAAATAAAGTGGTCTACTCATACTAACACTCTGCAGATTATGATAACCATATACACAGGATGCACCTAGAAATAAAGTAATTGTGACTAGTGAGATGGGAATGGGAGGGCACTGAGGGTCACAGGCTGGAAAGACTCCATGAACAAGGAGATAATTAGAGGGGAGCATGTTTTTGTTTATTTTTTTTTACTTTCTATCAGCACAGAGTCCAAAGAAGGAACTTTTAGCACCCAGGAAATACTCCACTTATGTGGCAACTTGGACCCTTAAGCAAAGTCCAAAAGACTATCCTGCTACAGTCACAATTGTGAGCAGAAAGGTTATTGTATCAGCAATCATTTTCTAGTATCACAAGAAAGGAGTGTTACTTCTTAATAATTAACTGTTCTTTCTTTTATCAGAGATTTCAAAAGTAGGAGTTGAGATTATTTTTTTTAACAATCAGAATTTTTTTTAACCTTTCTAATTATAATATCTGATAGTGTTTCTAATGGGACACTTCCACTTACTTTAAACTAAGTAAGTACTGGAAATTCTAGCAGCATAGTGCAAAGGGAGTGCATTACACTGCTATTTGAAAGGTCTCGCCTTTTCGATAGCTCAGTCTACCAGGGGGTCTGTGGGAGAAAGATGGTCAACCCCCACATGATTTACAGCCTAGTGTTGGCTTTTATTCTATCCCAACATGATGGCAAGGATTTCTTTTCTTTCTTTTTTTTGAGAGCTAAATGGACTACATGTCTATGATTATCCTAGCTTTGGTGGCAATTTAGTAGTCCATAGAACATTTTTCTTTATATATAGAAAATAACATGTGAAAAATAGTCACGTAACCGTTCCAGATGCGCCCAGTGTGAAAAAGAATTAGTTACATAACAATTCAAAATGTGCCCAAGCACACAAGTAGAAATGTTTAACAGCTTTGGTTCTCCTCATTGAGAATCTTCCTTAAGTTTGCATTTTACATAAGGTATTTGAAGGAAAAAAAATAGGGGAAAAATATATTTAAAAATGAGAATAAGTAAAAAGATGAAGATTTTGCTCAACCAGAAAAAAGGAAAAATGTTAATTTTCTGTTTTAATAGTTTAAAAATCATCTGTATATAAAAATAGTGTCTATTGCAATCGACATTTGGTGCCTTTGGCTTAGTTTTACTCATTGTTGTTGTTGTTATTGTTGTTGATATGTGCTGTTGAGTCTCCTGCAACTCATAGTGACCATGTGTACAACAGCCCTAACCCCTGCTCTATCCTGTGTAATTTTATTATCTCTGACATACCTACCCACACTATCCTAGTCACTAAATCAACCCATCTCATCAAGGTTCTTCCTCTCCTGTGCTGCCCCTCCACCCTCCCAAGCATGACGTCCCTCTCCAAAGACTAGTCCCTCCGAGAAACATGTCCAAAGTATGTCAGACAAAGCTTCAGAATCTTTGTCTACGAGGAGCAACCTGGTCTCTCCCTCTCTAGGAAGAACCTGTTTGTTCTCCTAGCAGTTCATAGTATATTCAACACTCTGTTCCAGCACCACAGCTCAAAGGCATCAATTTTCCTTCCATCATCCCTAGTCATCGTCCTGCTTTCTGATGCATAGAAAGTGGTTGCAAAGACTATGGCCTGGATTAGGCGTACCTTAGTCTCCAGACTGACATCATTGCTCTTCAGTACTTTGTAGGGGTCTCTGACAGCAGACTTTTCCAGTGCAATTAGTCTTTTATTCTGTAGTTGCTACTATCAAGAGTATTGATTGTGGAGCCAAGCAAATGAAAGCTGTTAACAATCTCAATCTCTTCAGCATCTATCATGATGCTGCCAATCTGTATGTTATATACAACAGACTGACCAGTGTTTCATAAACAATAACTTTTTTTTAAAAAGCCTCTTTGTGTATTTCAATTATTGGTGTTTTTTTTTCCATTGAGGTTTTAATTTTGTTCTTAACATCTATAAATAGCCAGATTGTGTGTATGCATTTGTGGGTATGTTCATAATGTGCACACGTGTGTGTTGTAAAGGATCACATCATGGAACAATATCGTCTCAAAAGCCAGACACACTTGAGTTGGTGTCAGATGACACTTCCGAATCCACAGCATTCATTCATTTGTTGCTAGCTTGATCTTGCGAGATCTCTTTGTCTCTCTATGCCTTTCTTTTCCTTCAGCAGATGAGAGTCTGGAAAAATGGCTGACAGGAACGACACCAGGGTGACTGAATTCATTCTTTTGGGCTTTTCAGTTGACAGAGAGATTGAAATTGTTCTCTTCCTGCTCATCTTAGTGGTGTACACTTTAACTTTGGTAGGGAACTTTGGAATGATTTCATTAATCCGATTGGATTCCCGACTTCACACACCCATGTACTTTTTCCTCAGTAATCTGGCTTTTGTGGACCTCTGCTACTCTTCCTCAATAGCCCCCAAATTCCTGGAGACACTCCTGACCAAACACAGGTCTATATCTTTCTATGCCTGTGCAACGCAACTCGGCTTTTTCCTCAACTTCTTGATATCGGAGATGTTCCTCCTTGCTGTAATGGCTTATGACCGCTACGTAGCCATCTGCAATCCTCTTCTCTACATGGTGATCATGTCCCAAAAAGTATGCACACGACTAGTATTGGGTCCCTACTTCTATAGCTTTTCTGTTGCATTTCTCCACACAGTAGTTACGTTTCAGCTGGTCTACTGTGGTCCTAATGTCATCAATCATTTCTACTGTGACGATGTCCCTTTGATGGCCCTTGCCTGCTCGGACACCAGCCTCAAAGAGATTCTGATTTTCATCTTTGCTGGATTCAACATGATCAGCTCTTTGACCACTGTTCTGATTTCTTACTTATACATTGTGGCTGCCATTCTGAGAATCCAGTCCACAGAGGGCCGGTGCAAAGCTTTCTCGACGTGTGCTTCTCATCTCACGGCAGTGACTATCTTCTACGGGACCCTCATCTTCATGTATCTGCAGCCCAAATCAAACCACTCCCTGGACACGGATAAAATGGCCTCTGTGTTCTACACAATGGTCATTCCAATGCTGAACCCCATGATTTACAGCTTGAGGAACCAAGAGGTGAAGAATGCCCTGAGGAAAGCCCTTGAAAAATGCTACATCCTGTCTCTAACAAATGCTAAAAAATAATTTCCAGACTTGGAGTAATATCATTGACCACTTTACTGTGTTGGTTTTTTTAAAAAATATTTTGTTGCATAAAATTCCTTGATATCTTATTTTATGAATAAAATTCTTTGTATTCTATTTTTCATTTAATATGATGTTAATGTTTAATGAAGCACAGCTAATGTTTTCTAAAAAAATCATTATTTTTATACGTGACATTAATGCATATTATTTGTATTGTTCTTATGATGTCAATATAAGATATAGTGATCTTTAATTTTTTTCCTGTTTATTATTTGTTGAGGGACGTTGGAGAGCAATGAGAACAATGAGGTTAATGTCTTTATTCTCCCTCTTATTTTGTCTGCTCTAAGCTGTATCTGATGCCTAACCATTATTCTTGATTCTGCTTCTGACCAACCTTGGTTTTACTACCTTCTTGAAAATTGCATGGTTACTACATTCTCTGAAAAGTTGTTCTTTTTAAAATGAAGAACTTTTTCTACATTGTTTAAGCAAAGCTATAGATCCTTGAGAGTTTTGAGTCATCTACGACTCAACAGCACTTAAACAACAATAATAATGATTCTAAAGTTTCTTGGGAGTTTTGAGAATATGAAAAAATGACAGTAGATTTGAAGGAATGAAAGGTTAGCTTAAAGCCAAATGTTAAATATGGTGATTTTCTAATTCCATAAATACAACTTTATTGTAGGATTACTTGGAATTTTCTGGCTGATATAAATAGTTAACTTATGCAATTACTATTTGAAAATTTAGACATTTGGGCATCTCAGAGAGGAAAAAAAACAGGCAATCTACTTTTGAAAACCATCATACATTAAAAACTCAAGGAAGCACAGTTTTACTCTAACGCACAAGAGTTTACCCTGAGTTTAAATCAGTTCTACAGAAACTGGTTTCGTGAGTAAGTATAAAGCAAAATAATCTAAAGTCAACTTAAGTGGTTGTTGTTGTTTTTTTAAATACAATGAAATATTTTGTTTCTTTATTCATCCATCCAAATATTCATTGTTCACCATGTTCATTGAGAGTATATGATAAAATTGGAGGATAAAACAAATCCATTCCCTGGGACAGTAGTTATCAACCAACTAGCCAAAAAATTAAATTTCAAAGTACAGTAAGAAGGTTTAGACAGAATTAAGGTAGAAAGAAGAGTGTTTAAGGCACTTTGTATATCACAAGTTCAACAGGATGATACTCATGGAGACGTTCAAGTGAGTGAGATTTGCATCCGGGAACAAAGCCAACACAGTTACATGTGAGACAAGACAGTACCAATTTGGAACAGATTGCAAACAATAGAAAATGTACTGTCGCTTCTACTCAGTGAAAACCATCAGAATCTAGCAAAAACATCATCATAGCTTAAGCATTAAGTAGTCTTTCAATATGCCGTGCTGTCAGTTGTTGATTTACACTTTTGTAATCAGAATCAACACACAGCTGACTCTCCTGCAGGTATTCATAAGCAGTTAATCACATGGGAGGAGAATCTCTCTCTCTCTAATACAGCACAGCTGGTGGATTTGAACTGCATGACTTTGGGTTAGCAGTGCAACTTCTTACCGCTAAGCCTCTGTGGTTCTGATATGCTGTGACGTGCCTGTATTGATTTGGACACAAATGATAGTTTTTGATAGTTTGGAGAAGGATGAATTTTGGTTCTGTAATTTAGTAGAGTCTAATACAGTTTCTGTAACCACTCTGAATGATGAGGAAAGCATGATTGAAATATTTTGCAATATAAATAGATATAATTTAGACTTTTTTCCCCTCTCTCAGTGCCCTGTTGGCCTCTGTGAAACTCCTTTTCATTCTAAGAGTATAAAGTGGCATGCATTATTGTGTTAGAGGCACTACTCCTATGAACATAGATTACTGTGGTCATGTAATTGAATATGAACCATTCAGATTTCCAGAGAATTTGGAATTGAGAGCTCTGCCAACCTCGTGGGTAAGAAATTGTACTGTCAACCCAAACACAGGAAATTCTGCCCTCGTGCTGTTAAAAGCCTCTGGAAACCTGCTGGAGGGTGAGCTGTGTCAGTTCCAACTCAACAGCAATGAGTGAATGAATGAATTCTACAAAGTGTCAACTGACTTCTTCATCCTATGTGAACTATGAAAGTAAGGCTTTCATTGAAGACTTCCTGTGTCCTGGGAAGCAAAAAGAGTCTAAAAAGAGAAAGAAGAATAAAGAAACTCAAATTTGAGAAATACACGTGAGCTCTATGCAGCCTAGGAGAGAGAACGGACTCTGTCTTTCACTTTACAGCTTCCCAGGACCATAGTTTGTTTCCTTCTGAAGCTGGTTACAGTCAAACCGCTGAAATTTGTGGTATAATCTTCTAATTTTATTTATATTTGCACACCTAAAGGAGCTCTGGTGGTGTAGCTCATGATTGAAAGTTTGATGATTAAAATCCACCAGCTAAGAGGAAGAGTAAAAGTCAATCTCATTACTGTGGAGTCAGAATCAACTCACAGCTGATCTTCCAATGAGTATTCAGAGGCTGTTAATCGCAGAGGAGGGTATTGCCCGTCCTTCTCCCATAGAGCTGCTGGTAGATTCAAACCACCAGAGGGCCGCGGCCTTTCAGCGAATAGTGTAATTCTCTACCAACTGTGGCATGAGCACTCTCTAGGAGAATGGTATTCTTATTTTTACGTACCATCAAGTTGACTACTACTGACAGCATCCTATGAACAAATCTAAATCTTGTCCTATCTTGTGCCATCCTCATAATTTATAATATGCTCAGTCTTCCTCTATTTAACCAACTCTTGATCTTCCCCAGCATAATGTCATAGTCCAAGAACTCGTCCCTCCTGACAACAATGTGAGATGAAGTTTAATTATCATTGCCTCTAAGAGAACCTGGTTACACTTCTTCCAAGACAGACTTGTTATTTCTTTTAATAGTTCATAGACTATTCAGTAGTCTTCTCCAACAATGGGAAATCTATTTTTGTGAAGACTTTACAGACTTGGAAATCAACATGAAGGTCATTATGAGTTGGAACAACTTAACAACAATGGACTTCAGTTGTAAATAGTTTTCCTCTCTCCCATAGTGATTTTGTGTTGCTTTAAATGGAAACAAATTTTGTTTGCTTTTCTTGGTTCTTTTTTTGTATAAGTGAAAAGATGTTGATTAATCAGTATAATGAATTCTATCACTCATATATTACCATAAGTATTAAAATTAATCCAGAGATTCAGGAAAGCGTTTATAGGGACTAATCTTGTTAGCTTATGTAGGCATCATGCCTGGAGTTGTGAAGGGTGAGTAAGTGGGAGACCTTCAGTGAAATGGACTAACATAGTAACTGTAACAAGGGCTCAAGTATAGGGTCACTGAATTCTGATTGGCTCTACAGCACCTAACAACAACAATGTTGTTAGTGCACAAAATCAAACCACTTTACATTTATGATTTGAGTTGCATGTATCCCTTTTATCTCCCTATATGACTCCCTTTTTTATTACCTCTCTCATTTCTGCTTTCAAGTCCTCAAAACCCAATAAGTTATGAGCAGAAAATAAAGAATGCAAATGCTAAGACACAATTTTCATCAAGATGTCAATAGAGTTTGGCTCTGAGATATTTTGTAATGTGTTTCTGCTGCCTGTGAGAGGCTGTCCATTCTTTGATATCAAAATCACATTAACATAAATTAAAAAGATGGAGAAACAGTGGACATTCCAGTGCTCTTAAAAATTGTGATTTTCATTAAAGTTTATAGATGAGTTTTCATTCATTTATTGGTATATATTTTCATCCCTCCTCTCCTCCAATTCACTTCGTAATATATATTTTGCTCCAGATTGTTGTCATACATATAACATCTAATCATCCATTCCTTTCAGAAAGTCCTTCCCTTCCCTTATTCCAGTGTACTGCTCCTATCGGCCCAGATTCATTCTTTCCCTGCTCTCCATCCATCCTCCACCTTGTCCACCTTCTTTTTACAAGAGTGGTCTTATGCAGTCTTTGTTCTTTTTGGACTGAGCTATTTCACTCAGTATAATATTTTCTAGACTCATGTATGTTGTGTATTGTTTTAAGGTTCATTATTTTTCAGTGTTGTGTAATATTCCATTGTGAGAATGTACCACACTATTACATTCCATTCATTTATTGACAGGTACTTGGCCTATTTCCATCTCTTCACTATTGTGAATAATACTGCAATAAACATGAGCATGAATGCATCTGTTGGAGTTATGTCTCTGGTTTCTTTAAGGTATATTCCCAATTATAGGATACCTGGGTCAAATGGCATTTCTATTTCCTAATTTATGAGAAAGCACCAGACTGTGTCCATCGTAGTAACACAATTTTACATTCCCACTAGCAGCATATGAAAGTTTCAATCTGTCCACATCCTTGCCAGCATTAGTTGTCTACTGTCCTGTTGATCTTTGCTGTTTGGATTTACATCTATCTCTGATGGTAAGCAGGCACACAGTTCAAATCCACCAGTGACCTTGCAGGAGAATAATGAACAATCTACTCCTATGAGATTTACTGCCTCTGAAAACCAGGTGGATCTTCAGCTAGGGATCAGTACTGACTCAATGTCACAAAGTAACAACAACAACATAATAGTTAGGTAACTCTTGTGGTTTAGTAGGAAGAAACTGTGAAGCCAACACAAAGGTACATGGTTCAAATCTACCAGTTGGTCCACAGGATACAAATAGGCAATCAACTACCATGTAATTACTGTCTCTGAAAACTAGCTAGAGGGTTAGCTATGGGTCAGTTGAGAATTCATGGTACACAATGATAATAGAGATTTCCAATATTTTCTTCATGTGTTTTCTGGCCAGCTGACTTTCTTCTTTGGTAAAGTATCTGTTCATATCTTCTATTCACATATGTATTATTTGTCTTTTTCTTGTTTTGTATATTTAAACTATTCACATTTAGTGTAATTATCAAGAGGAAAGGTTGTATTGATGTTGTTCTATTTGGTTCACTTTTGTT